TATATACTCAAATCAGTTAAAAACTCTAAAACAAAACCAAGATCATGTCTTTTTCTTTTCAGTTTGTTAGTTTCATGTGAATTTGAAATTTAATTCAGTACACATTTTAGAATCATGTTTATAATATCAACATATAGGCTTCTTCATAGTTTCATAGTCCATACCTGCAAGGCATTTTCATGAAATTCATTGTGCACCTGCCTCAGATGTGATCTTGGCAACTGGGGAAAATAAAAAGTCACTAGAAGAAAAAGATTGTAAGTAAATGCTCATGTAAGAGAAAAAGAATTATAGGAACACATTCTTCATGTGATGTCAACTGTTTTGCCAAAGTCCAGCGCAGTAATTTAATTAGAGCAATGTTAGAAATGTAGAAAACTAAACATAGACTTTCTGCTTTTGTGAGACATTTGTAAATTTGTGAGATATTTTTGTGTTTATTATGTGTTTGATTCTCTATGTATTTAGACTTTCTTGTTTTATTGGGTACTAGAATAAGGTCTATAGATCAATGATATAAATGCACAAACATAGATCATATTAGGATTAACTACACTCAATGGTACATAAAAGTATGTGCTTTGTTAACAGGCATGTCACTACAAGAACGAAAAACAATGAGATTGAAATTAGGATAGGGCCACCAATGAGTCCATATCCAGGAAAATCCATTGCCAACACTGTATACTCAATTCAAAAAATTTAATGGGTATTCACAGCTAGCATCTTATTATGATTTTAATTGGGTATGTGATAGAGATACTCACAATATCTCCAAAGTCTGCAGTAGTCCTTTTGGTTGAAGGAATCTTGCCACTGAGTTCATTGTTATTAAAAACCCTGCTCAAATTAATTCACAAGATGACATTGAAATTAGGGCTCAGATTGAGAGAAACGGGGCTGCCCAGAAATTCAGTCCAACATTCCTCATCATATTATCTAATTAAAAAAAGAAGAGAACACCCATTCTGTCAACAGTTAAAAGGCAAAATTGAGTGGGACTTGTCATTATATATGAATTCATTCAAACGCATATTTAAAATATTATTCTCGTAACAAATGTTGTTCTATTTGTCACCATGAAAGCTTGTTGCTTATACTTGCCATACGGGTAAGCAAACTGCATAAATGCATAACCTGTTGTTCTGTCATTCAAGTGCATACCAGAGACTCACGAATAAATAGCTGGTTCAAAGGAACTCACACATGTATCAGAGACGTATTTGAATTGAAATAATTGAAATATTCATACATAATGAAATAATTGAAATATAGGCCAAAGCATGCAAATGCACAATAAAAGGTAAGCCATACTAGAAGATTCAGTACATGCACAGTTCAGCAGAAATTTTCTGGAATGGAAACATGATGATATGAATTAAAAGATTGAAGTTTCTGATGCAAGATTTAAAGGACCAAAAAATGGTTCCACGCTCAATTTTTTCTCATCTTTTGAAAGCATGAAGAGGGAGTAAGTACGTTCACCCGGAGAAGTCAGAGGGTGTGGGAGCATTTGTGCTTGAAAGTTGCAAATATTAGGATTTTATAGGAAGCCCAAATAATACATATGGCCTAAATAATTTGAGGAAAGAAATATAACATTTTGCAGTATTATCAAATTATCAGAACATGCCTATCAAATTATCAGAACATTTTGCAGTAACTTCCAACTCTCCATAACAGAACATGAGAAGCTTATAGCAACCTGATGAAGTCAAAAAGATTGTGATATTCATTCCTCTAAATGTTCCGGAAAAGATGTTCTTGCTCAGTCTAGACTATGGGAATTAAATTAGTCATTTGCAATATACAACAAACACTAACAGGCGTGCTTGCTTTTAAATTACCCATACTAATGATAAGTTCAGATACTTATCATTTCATCTCAAGAGCTTTATACTTTTACACTACCAACAAACTGCATTGAAACAGTGTCACCTCAATGCCACAAGCATGGAAACACTTTCTTTTCAGATATCATTAGGTAAGAAACACAGTCAACAATGAAAATTCCAATCCAAGAACTTCAAAAATTGGGTCTTGCTTGATGCTGAACTCTACAGTATGCTAGTAGGAAAAACATCAAAGGCTACAACTTGACATCATAGAAATTGCAATATATCTTTTGATACTTCTAGCTAACGAAAATAACGAAGCTAAGATAACTTTGCCATTAATAGTTAAGTAGATCATGTAATTAAAACAAACCTCCTGCTTTGGTCCCAATTTTATATACTGAGGTGAATCAACAACAACAAGAGCAGGTTCACAAAGCTTTATAGCATCATGCATATCCTTTAAGTGCCCCCATTTTGGCTGTCTTAGTAATCCTGTATGAAAAATAAAGAGATAAAAAGTGAGATTGGTGAACAACCATTTCAATGAGAATGCTATTAGTGATATGAATAAGCAACTAAACCATATATTTGTATCCAAGTTATACATCAGTTGTTAACCCAAAAAAAAAAAAAAAATTGTCTTATTTAAGTAAAGTTTAACTTACCATATTCATCAATTGGAGCATCATAATCGCAACTAGTAATATAGTTTGGGCCCCCTGCAGTAGTTCTTTGCTAACTTGTTCTTTTCAAGGCCCAATACATACACATATACAACTATAATTATAGAACTGGTTCAATTAGCAATTTAGATAAACTAAATACAAACAAATAATCTTCTTTATATGGACCAGTCAGTTGGAGTTGAGCTTGAACACAACTGGACAAACTTCAGAATTCCAAAACAGAACCTAGAATAGGAATATCAATGTAAAATGTAAAGTTAACACACATTCATAGTGCAACGAACAATCACTAATTCATGTGAAAGGTTGACAATCACTAATTCATGTAAAGTTAACACACAATGAAAGGTTCAATCAATTCAATATGAAAACTAGAATGATTGAAGCAGAAATTGCATTCCTGATGCAAAATCCAAAAAATCAAAAGTAAAAAGACCAACATGTGGGAAACAGAGTATAGTGTTCAGGTTTCAGGTTTCTTTGGTCACCAAGTTTCCTAGTGTTCAAGCTAGATTCTAACATAATTGGCATTGTGTAACAGACATCTTGAATAAATTTCATGTTGAATGTCCTCAAGTATGATTTCCAAGGCACTTCCCTCTCAAGTATGAAAGTTTGCAGTTATTAGTTAAACTAAAAAATATGTGGCGTTTCTGCATTATTACGAGATTTCGCTTCTTATTACATATTACAACTATTTCCACAGCTATCCAAAAATGATACTAACCTTCACTAAAATAACCTAGCTCTTCCTTAGTTTCTAGTCTAATACTTGCACTTCTTTAATTATTCAGCTAAGCTGACTGCTTAGTTGCCCCATGCCTAATATTTTTGAGTCTTTGATGACTTTTCACTTCAAAGAGGCTCAAGACTTGATAATCAACGCTATGGGCTTTATTCTCTACAACTAGTCATGCACGTGTGTGCAATTATGATTTAAAGATGCTTCATTCAACAAGGAGGAAAGAGGAAGAAAAGGGGGAACAATAGAACTAGGGGGACAACCTTAGAAACAAAGGGTCACTACATATGATGTATCTAGTAGTGGGTTTTTAGCTATGGAAAGTTTCTAGGCTTAGAGTTCTAAAAGGTGGAGGGCAGGTTTGACTGTTTTAGATGGAAAAAGGGTGACAATTGGCTTGATTTTCAGAAGTATTTGGTTGTTGGGTCTTAAGAAGTGGTCCCAAAATGTTCCAGGAAAACATTTATTTTATGATATTTTGGTGTGACAATAAAAGCTGAAAGGCAAGGACAATGGTTGGTGGCAATTTAGGCTTGATTAGGTAAGGTTCTTGTGCCTGAAATTTGCACTGTTTTGGGGCTGTGAATAGTAACCCAGGAATAAATGTTTTGTGAATAAAGAAGAGGAGGAATAACCCCCTAAGGTAAGGTTTCACAAAGCATCACTCAAAGTGACAAATGTTTTACATCAAATTTCAAGAGAACTCCATAGAACAGATATATATGTATTTATAGAGTGCTGGGTTCTCCTAATTCTATTAGGACCATGATTCCAAAATTAAGAAAAGTTAAGAAGCTTTGACTTGTTACAAATTTACAATATTCTACAACTAATAAAGACCCCATATGAGACTCAAATAACAATATTTGACCCACAGGTAAACTGTAAATTTTTTAAAATAACAACATACTCCAAGCAATTAACAACCAATAAAAACCAACATCATTCTAACATACAAAATTAAGTATATGAAAAGGATGTATATATTGAAAAGGAGTACCTTTGAAATGTTGTGTGATTGACATTTATGTATCAAATTGAGTAGAAATTGTTGGACAACCACAACATAGCATGCCTCCAGAATTCGTAGTGCCAAGTGACCAAAAAGTAAACTTTTTTCATAAACTGAAGTTCAAAATATTACAGAGTGCTTAACGAGGGGTAAAATAAAAGACGGTTCAGTAAAATGAACTATAAATGTATTTTTTTGGAGGTCACCAGACTCTTCTCATTGGGAGAAGCAGTGGTGAAGTTGAAAGCAGTTTGGTCAGGATAAATCAAGGGTATTTGCTGGTTTTTGAGGAGTGACATGATTAAGGTCAAGGGACTTGTAAGGGTGAGGGGAAGCTGAGAAAGCATGTGGATTAAGGAAATAGGAAAAACACTGTTGATTAATGATCAATTGGAAATTAGATAGGTGGATTGGTCGTACAAGATTCAACACCAAGTATCTGGTATTGAGCCTTATTGAGCTGACTTAAGATTAGCATTAGGTGAGTCATACCTTCACATCATTAGACACGTAACCAAAGAAAATGGACTAAGGAAGAACCTTATCATCTTGGTTATATAAGAAATTTAAGATTAGTGCTCGATCATTGGCATGTCGCACTTGCTTAAGAAAAACGTGAACAGAATCCACACTTGGCTCTCCATGAGCTGTGTCTAGCAAGAAAACTAGTTTATTTGTTAAAATAATTTGAATTATTTATTTTAACTGTAGTTATCTTATAAAAAGATTTCCAAAGACTTGACATAGTAGAAGTAAGAATCAAAATAGAAACTAGGAATATGAATCCATGAAGAAACAGTAAGATACCTGTTAGCATCCTCGGTCTTCTTTCCAGCTATTCTTCCTTTGGAAGCCCGCTGATAACTGTCAAGAGTGCAAGTTAAATTTAAAACCAATTTAATACATGAAAAATAGAATCAACTAACAAGATAAATTCATAAAAATACTCCTATGAATACTAACCTGAGAGGCAACATCAACTCTAATTTCGTCTAGGACCTGTCAAGTAAATAAATAAAATACCAAGTATATTTCTAGTTTAACAAGTATATTTCTAGTTTTCCACAAACATTAGCAGAAAAATGCAACAGAAGGCCCAATAGAAATGAAGGCATTCTAAAAAAGCTCACCTAAACGTCTAATGAAATGTGTCTTACGTGAATAATAGCATTCAGTAGAACAGACAAAAACAGTTCAAAATAAAAATTCATGAAATAAGAATAATAGAATCATACAATTGCAGAAAAATCAACCAATTCACAAACCTCGTGACCAGGAGGACTAATATGGAAAATGCAAAAGTTGTGGAGCAGCAAAGAAGCTGCTTCAAGAAAAAAGAACAATCCTTGGAAACAGGACATATCTACTCAAAAAGTTGCAAAACCAGGTACTATTACATCATTAAGAAAATGCAGCGCATAAAGTTTATTACTGAAAATTCTCAGAATAAGCCATTGGAGATAATGCACTGAAATATAGAATTGTATTTCCAAGAAAAACACATAATGAGAGTGAAAACAAAAAATCAAAAGACTCAAACCCCATTATAGAATAAAACACAACCAGAAACAATCTACTATCACTAAGACCACAAGCTCTGCTTAAATTCTTGTTCTTTTGTTACCTAGAACCAACAAACTAATTAATAGGCACTAATCAAAACATGAATTGATTATATTCAAAACCCTAGAAAGTAATTTACTCTATGAGATAGATAGACATATGCCTCATTGATAGCGAGCATTTGACCATTGCTTTTCTTCACCTTCTTAAGCTTCCTCAGAAAATACCTTAGAAATTTAACCAAAACACAATTGGAATCGAAAATAATATACTCAAACCTCATACATACATATATACTCATACCAGAACTTGGACTTGGCCCGAACCTCGTTGGTGGCCCAGAGCTTTATGCGGTAGATCTTCGGATGCTGATCGGTCTCCATAGGAAGAGCTCTCTCTACAACCTGATACTGATGAATCGCGCAAATCGCTGCGAGAGATGTACACAGATACAGAGAGCGAGCAAGATCATGCGAAAGAGAGATTGAGAGATCAAGAGAGGAAGAGACTTTGAGACATCGAGACAGAAACAGAGAGATTGAGCGATTGAGGGAGAGATTCATACGGGTGGAGTTCTGATGGGCATGTGAGCGAGAGCAAGAGCGAGACAGAGAGCAAGCGAGAGAGAGAGAGACATTAGTGAGCCTACTAGGGCAAAACTAAGAGAAGGGCGCAAATAAATGAAAGAAGAAAATGGGGACCTTTTACGACTTACTTGCTTTCATTATGCTGTAGTGTTTTTTCTCCATTATTATTTTTTATTTTTTTGCCACAGCTAATCAAACGGTCACAAAAAAATAGACACAAAAAGTCAATTTTTTAGTAATGCTAAAAAAAATATTTATTGACGAAAATAAATTTTATCATCTATTATTTTTATATTTTTATTATATGTGATAAAATTTTATAATTCATCACGAATTATTCTTATTTAGTGATAAAAGTTATTTTCTTTGCTACTTTTCATCACCATAGGTTACTTAGAGAGCTAATTAACTTGTGTTTTGTTTTGAGAGAGAGAGAGAGGGGGGAGGAAAACCGATAAACAAAAAAAAGAGGGGGAAGTTAGTACTCTATTTTTTTTATTACCGCCCAATATGTCAAAATTTTCCCTCTGTAATTAGTGACAAAATAATTTCCTCACTAAAAAATCTCAAAATATTAAAAATTATTAGTGACAAAAATATATTCTTCACCAAATGGTCTTAAAATATTTAAAATCAAATTTCTCAAAAAAAAATATATATATATAAAATTATTGGTGACGAAAATATATTCGTCACTAATAATTTTATAATTGGTGACAAATTTTTTTCTCACCAAAAGTCTCAAAATTTTGGCGCCATCCAAAAAAATTAGCGGAAAAACCTTCGTTGACAAAACTTAATTTTTCCTCACCTAAAAAGAAGTATTTGTTGACGAAAATAAATTTTGTCACCTAATATTTTTATTTTTTTATTATATGTGACAAAATTTTATAATTCGTCACAAATTATTCTTATTTAGTGACAAAATTTATTTTCTTCATTACTTTTCGTCACCATAGGTTACTTAGAGAACTAATTAACTTGTGTTTTGTTTTGAGAGTGAGAGAGAGAGAGAGAGGGGAAAGGAAAATTGTTAAACAATAAAAGGAGGGGAGAGAGAAAAATTTAGTAGTCTATTTTTTTCATTACCGCCCAATATGTCAAAATTTTTCTTCCAAAATTAGTGACAAAATAATTTCCTCACTAAAAAACCTCAAAATATTAAAAACTATTAGTGATAAAAATATATTTCTCACAAAATGGTCTTAAAATATTTAAAATCAAGTTTCTCAAATATATATATATATATATATATAATTATTGGTGACGAAAATATATTCGTCACTAATAATTTTATAATTGGTGACAAATTTTTTTCTCACCAAAAGTCTCAAAATTTTGGCGCCACCCAAAAAAATTAGCGGAAAAACCTTCGGTGACAAAACTTAATTTTTCAATCAAATTAAGTGTGATTAAAATATCAATCTAATTTTTTTTATCACACTTCCAATAAAAATGAGATCTTTTTTTTTTTTTTTTGTCAAAGTGTGATCTTTAACTATTTTTGTAGTAGTGGAGAAACAGAGAGAGCAAGAGACTGAACTTGTTTGGGTCTATGTACATATTGATAGAAAATAAATTGGGCGGTAATGTAAAAGTGTATTCCCACCAAAAAAATGAATCTGTGTTTTTGAAATTGTTTAATTTTATTGCCAACAAAATGTTTTTTGGTCACTAAAAATAAGTATTTTGCCGACCACATTTTTGGTCGGCAAAGATCAAAAGTAAAAAAAATTCATTAATATTTGGCGACAAAAATATTAGTCGCAGAAAAGGTATCTTCGACGACAAATCTTTTTAGTCGCCAAATCTCAATCAACGGCGACTAAAATATTAGTCGCTAAATGTATTAATTTGGCGACTGATTTTTTTGGTTGCTGAAAATAAGTTTTTAGCAACCAAATTTTTGGTTACCAAAGAAAAAAATAATTTTTGGCGTCAAAAAGATCATATTAGTCGCAAAAAAAGTACCTTCACCGACAAATATTTTTAGTCGCCAAATCTCAATCAACAACGACTAAAATATTAGTCGCTAAAAGTACTAATTTGGCGACTAATTTTTTTTGGTTGCTGAAAATAAGTTTTTGGCGACCAAATTTTTGGTCGCCAAAAAATATGTGACCTTCCGCGACCAAATTTGTAGTTGGTCGGCAAAAGCATACAACTTTCTGCGACCAACTCATTTTTTGGTCGCCAAAATATAACCTTCAGCAACCAATAATATTTGGTCGCCAAAAATAAAGATCAATCGCGACTAATTAATATTTGGTCGCCAAATGTCATTTTTTTGCGACCAAAATTTTTTTGGACGGCAAAATTGGTCGCAAAATGTGTAAATTCTTGTAGTGGTAGAAAATGAGTTGATTTAGTAAAAAAGTTTTCTTGTTTTTTAAATATATAGATAATGTTTTGTGATTTTAACAAAACTTACTAGAGTTTTACCTACTCTATTAAAATTGTTTTCACCATCAATTAATACTATTGTAGTTGTTGCCATCAGTACTATGCTTCCCAACTACTACCACCACTACCACCTCACTCCTCAGCCGTCAACACCACCATCACTTCCACAACTACCAAAACCATCATTTTCAAAGTTGCATTTAAATATACAAAAATAATGAGAGGTTCGATGGAGCAGCGGTGGATGTTGAGGGTTGAAGTTGCCTGGTGCTGTTATTGGCATAACAACCAGTACGCCATAGGTTGGCCCCATGTAGTCCTTTCGTACTAGAGTTGACGCCTCACAATTCTCCTTCTAACACCAACGAATACTTTCTTAAGATTTTTTCAATCAAAACAAATAGAGCCATAAATAAAAAAAAGTAAAAATTCTTGCAACAACTTTCGTATTTCGTTTTTTAGAATTTCAAGTGACATTTTTCTTTGCTATTAAAGTTGTATGTCCCTTGTGGGTCTCACATAATAGACCAACTGTCAAGTTAAGTTATCACATTACAAATGTGTTGGGATTGACTTGACCATCTCAATAAAAGTGTAGTGGCCAACCTAAATCGTAGGAGATTATAATTATCAATTGATCTTGCTAATATTGGGTCTCTATCATGTGATAATTTAATAGAAAACTAAATTTAAAGATTTCCTGTCAAATCCATAGAATAAAATAATAATAGTTGTGTACCTGACCCCATTGATGGAGGTAATTTACACAGTAGACTTCTTGGTGGTTATTATATTCTACTCCAAAACCCTACTCTTATTTACTCTCACATCATTGAAAAAAATATGGGATGGAGGCTAGAGTTAGAGTCACTACCAAAAATGAAACTTTTAGTGATGGATAAAAACCATCACTAAAAGTACAATTTTTGTCGCAAAAAAGTATTAGCGACAGATATGTGACAGATATAAAGCAAGGCAACAAGTCGCAGGGCAAATAGTATTTGTAACGAAAATACACCATCGCAATTTATTGGCGATTGATTGTGCCAATCTTTTGTGACGAAAGTTAGCCGTTGCAATAAGTTTGTAACAGAACATAGCTTTCTTTTGCAACGAATATAGTTCACCAATTGCGACGGTATGATACCGTCGTTAAAAAAATTGCTGGAAAAAAAATTCTCATTTTATTGATTTTTCTTTTGCAATGGTATTTAACCGTCACAAAATAGTATTTTAAAAAAATGTGAAATCATATATAAAATTACCTGTATAATATTTCTTGTGATAAAATAAATTCATATCTAAAATAAATAAATAAATAAATAAACAAAAATGTATTTACAAAATCCCTATATGAACTATTAATATTTGTAAAAACAAATATCAATTGACACTCACTAAATCAAATATTTGAATAATAATCCAAAGCAATCAAACTGCTAAATTTAACCAAAATATTCAATACAACCTGAATTTTAGTATCCATATCCAATTATTGGTGAAGTAACAAAACAAATCGTTGTAAAAACAAATATCAACATCGATAGTAAGTTCCAAGTTCAACATGAGAATATCACCACCGCCTCCTCGATAGAGTAATATCTGCAAACAAACAAATACTCAAATGATTTACAGTATAATCTCAAAGAGTTATCTGAACTTCTAAACCAATTTAACATGAATGACATTAGAATTGCTAGTTATTTCTATTTTCAAACTCTCAAAGTGTCATCGAAAGTGTTTATGTGACTAAATTAACCACCACCAATATCTTAACCGGTTAGGCCCAAAACAAAACATAGATATGCAGCTTTTGCGTGTAGAAAGTTGTCTTAGAGTTTGTCACGACCCAAACCCGCCCCTAAAAGTTTGCTCCATGACCGGCCTGTACATAGGCCTCAAAATAGAATTTTAGAATTTTATTTAATCACATACATGGTCTTAAGTGGAAGCAATATCAATAAAGGACAACATCCATTGAGCTTGGGCATACATGATGGTTTAATTGAATTTAAGCATTTAAATACACTTCTAACTGTACATGTACAATCACAGAATTTATATGGATCTCACACACACTTACATAAGAGTTAATAATTTATATGACTCCCAGCACAAATTAAGGCCTCCACGTGGAGACATACCCCAGGTGACTTGGCAGACAGGCGAACCTCGGTACAACTCTAATGCCAATCCCCGATGGCTCACCTACAGAAATATACATAAAACAGAATGACCAAAGCTCAGTGAATAATAACAATGTAAGAAGGTTAATTGAATAAGCAAAACCTTGGATAAAATAAATGGACAGATACCAACCATATACAATTCTTAGCCATAACTATATTTCAATACGGTCTCAGGCTCACATATAAAATAGACTGGCTTCAAGTCCATGCAGAATACAAAACGGCCATAGGCCCAACAGATTATACAGAACGGTCTCTCGCCTAACGGATTATACAGAACGGCCTCTGGCCTAGTAGATT